GACTTCTTCTTCTTCTTCTTCTTCTTCTTCTTCTTCTTCTTCTTCTTCTTCTTCTTCTTCTTCTTCTTCTTCTTCTTCTTCTTCTTCTCCTTCTTCAGTTTTTAAGGCATTTTAAGACTTTTATCATACAGGAAAGGTCTTTTGAAAAGCTTTTAATTGACTAAAAAGTCTATGAATCATTTCACGAAATATTTGGAAGCTGGTTTTGGAAATCTTGAAACTGGCCTAACAGTGTCAAACTCGCTTATCAAGCCAAAGCACCAGGTTCGACACTTTATGATGTTCAACATAATGCAAATATTATGACAGGATTAGGTTCTCGTGTCGGGCAGAATTGATATAGCAATCGTCTCTGATTAGGATAGGAACATCGTGAGCTGATTTCTAGCCTCTTGAAACTGAGACACTGCTAAGCTTTGTTAACGGACCGAGTGGCGATACGTGAAGAGTCCGTTACGCCATGGGCATAATACAACTGCCCTCAGAAGATCTTTTTCCAGATTTCTCATTACTGGTAAGGCAAAAACAACAGATATTTGTTTTATATCCTCAGTATTCATGTAGCAGGATTTTATTTCGAGCACTAAAAGATTCACTTACTGTACTTTTTCCTGAAGTAAAAGACCGACATGAATAAGCACTAGTATGCAAAGTTTTCTTAAGACAAGGTGCCTTAAGTATGTAATGACAGTGACTGTTTTCTTTCTCCACTTACGTGCAAGGGGCTACATCAAACTGGTTGCGCTGAAAGAGCTGCGCCAATGTCATGAACAAAGTTGGTCCAAATTTAGAGGTGACTTGGCAATTGTCTGAGAGGGCTGTATTTTTTGTTTAATTTTAAGGAGGAGAAAAGGGGTGGGGTGGTAATACATTAGTGATCTACTTAACTCTCACGTAAACAAGAATTAGGTCTAACAAATAAGTTTTCTCCAGTTCACACTTGTCAAAGGAAACTGGAACTTGTATAATTGTTTCGCATCATAACGTACCAACAAGCAGATACTGAAGTGTACACACATTAGAACTCACGGGCTGCTGTGGTGTAGTGGTTGGGCGCTTCGATTTCCCACACAGTAGACTCCGGGTTCGATTCCCGTGTGAGGAGAAATTTTTGTCTGCTGAGACTTTGTATCCCTCTAAGCCCGGGTTGACAGCCAGGCAGTGTAGAACCCGCCCCTTAAAGTAACTAAACTGTGTCGATGGGGGCCTAAAACATATTTTGTCGACAGAAACTGGGACAGGATAGAAGTTCCCTTACAAAAATTAATTTTCCCTGAACACTTCGTCGCCACATTCATCACTGTTGTATGTCCAAATACGAGGTCTTCAGAAAGAGCAAAAAGCTATTTTATTTCGGGCTGGACATTATGTCAGTACAAAACGTTAAATTTGTTTGAATCCGTTACTGTTTTAAGAAGATGAATTAGACTAGAACAAATCTATGCGCCTCATCAAACTCAACTACATACCTGACTTTCATCTTTCTTCAATATTCTGACATTATACAATGTTGAATGATGGTGGTGTCTTGTTTCTCCAGCACAACGTGCCAAAGACCAGTGGGTGACAGACACAAACAGTCAAAGTTACCAATCACTTTCAGCTGAATAAGGATCCAAGTTCCGTATGACTTAATATGGCATTTCTTGTTACTTGTATGGACATGATTTTCATGTGCTGAGTTAATACTTCCCTTTTACTGCAGAAAAGTCAGAAAAGCAAAGTCCGACTACTGGAAAAGGCTACAAAGACCCCCTCCCACCCCACCCCAAAAATAACCCCAACAGAATACACTTTGTTTATCTCTTGGAAGTTGTGTTGTCAACATCAGCGCGGGCAGTTAGTTGAGCGGTCTAGTGTGGTGTACTTCTTTAATCAGTCTACTTACCGTCCTTTTATACAATCCTTCTTTTCTATGTTTGCAACTCTTTTGTAACTCTGATCTTCAGCATTTATATTTCCCAAAACGTTGAAACAGCCGTAAAATCTATTTCAAACCAAACCAAACCAAATGCTATTGGAAAAAGTGATAGTAGCATAGGCCATCTGTCTTACACAATAAAATTTGCGTTTTCTCGAATAAGTTTCAATAGAATTCATCAATCTATTTCAACGTTTGTACCTTAATCCATAGGACAAAGATAGCTGGCATCCGACCATTAAGAAGCATTGCTTCCTCCTTGTCTACGTTACTTAGTGTTTAAATTTTTTATAATAAATTAGATATCTAGCTTCCATTGAGTCAGACTTCAAAAAAGATTAAGCAACATAAACACATTTTATTATGAGACAGTCATGACATCCATGAAACCATACGGTCCAGAAAGCTTTAGAATTAAAGACCATGAGACAACGTAAATCATGTCCACATACTGACTATTAGAAAGTGGGACTGTGCTGCAGGTATGCTGTTGCCGCTAGCAAGAAATGATACTACAACTTCGAAAAAAAATTATTACGTCAAAAGACAAAATCTCTACTTTAGAGTTACAAAGTTCTATCTGCTCAGAAACTAGTTTTGAAAAATTTGACGTAAAAAATGTTGAGTTTAACAAAATGTCAAGTTTTTTAGAATGCAAATCTTTTCTTTTTTAGTAGAGGTTTTACGGCGCTCGCAGCTGCATAAGGTCATATGAGCGCCAGAAGATTAGAGGTGTTACAAGAGAGTAACAAACACAAAAAAGAAGGAGGGGAGGTAAGGACGATAGATGTTAGATAGGAAAGAATCTGCACACCACACCAGAGCACCCGCCAACCACCCTCTTGCAAATCTTTAATTGTCTTGATAACGATTCAGAATAATCTTACGACTTTGATAGAGCAGGTAGACCATTTCATTTCTGATCTCAGGTTCTTAGTTACTCAAAACGGCCAAAAACATCAGATAGAACTTGGTAATTCTGAGGTAGCAAAACAGAGGTCATCTTAGTTTTAAAATCTCAATATCAATCTCATATGGAAACTAAAGTTATTCTCCAAGCCGCCTTAATTTTTAAAAGGTGTAGTAGTAATAATACTAGTAGTAGTACTACTACTTGTAGCAGTAGTAGTAGTAGTAGTAGTAGTAGTAGTAGTAGTAGTAGTAGTAGTAGTAGTAGTAGTAGTAGTAGTAGTAGTAGTAGTAGTAGTAGTAGTAGTAGTAGTAGTAACAAACATACACGCATATAAGTACATAAATATATATATAATATATATATATATATATATATATATATATATATATATATAATATATATATATATATATACAAAGAGAGAGATAGATAGATAGATAGATAGATAGATAGATAGATAGATAGATAGATAGATAGATAGATAGATAGATAGATAGATAGATAGATAGATAGATAGATAGATAGATAGATAGATAGATAGATAGATAGATAGATATAGTGTTGGTAATAGATAATACACAATGAAACGTCTAATATAATTTCGGTGGACATATACACGTGACGACTTTCGAAACCTACCTGAGCAGTCAATAGCCAGAATCAGGTGATCCAAGAAAGAAACGACTCTTGGCGCATACAAATCATTTATATGTTCCGCTATGCAATATCGGGTTTCATTCAAAGCTTCGCAGATGGGTTCAGATTTATTAAACATCCTCAGCAGACATTGTGAAGCTGTTGGCTTGAGTGAAGGAGTTGACTGAAAGGCCGGGAAGACGCTGTTAATGAGGTTGGCATCGCACTCTTCAAGCTGATCTCCAGTCAATAAGTAAAACACGACTCTTTCCCGATCCTGGCAACCAAGAGAGTTGAAAGCTAAGCATTCGAGTATATCCCGTCTGTTTGAATAAAGAAAAAGTAGAAAGATGTTCTTCAAGTAATAGAAGCCATAAATTATGACAAGTTTATTCATGCCGTACAAACTTTCTTTTCCAGATTTGTTCTCAGCTCCTATCGAAACCAAGGTGGAAACAGAGGAAGGCAAATGACATGAAGCTGTAAGGGGCGACTTGATTAACATGATGATAGGTTATGCCAATGAGCTGGTGGATCAGACGAAAATATGATTCAAACCACGCAAAAAAACGCATTTATGTTGGGAAAGGAGGAGTTGATAGTGGGAACAACAGAAAGTACGGATACTCTTCTCAGCGTAACTTTCTGGAAATACAGCCAAAAAGATATAAATAAATAACTGAAAAATCGAGGACAATACGCATTTTTGAGTAATCTCAAAGGGTCGAACATCGTTAATGAAATATGTATGGGAGCCAGCATCTATACGTGAAATCTGTAACCAGGCGAGCTGTGACAATGTATCTGCGTTGGTCTGGTTCATTGCGTTGTTTCTAGTCCCAGAATTGCTTGTTGCCCTAAAGTTTAGAGGTGCCTGGCCCGACGTTAGCCGTATTATTACACCTCCGTTATGAGAAGACGTGTACTTTAATCATATCAAGACCAGAATGTACGGCTGGGAGACATGGGCTGTATACAGGAGGCAAGACACTTCAGACAGCTCGAGAATTTCACATGCGGTCCTAGTGGTCGATCTTGGGTATTAGGTCACACATGTGACAAACCTGGAGGTGCTCTACCGTAAATGGACTAGCCACACTAGAACCATAATCATCAAGGACCAGTTCAGAGGGACCAGCCATGTCATCCGCATGGACGCCCAGAGAATGCCACGTCAGATCTTCTACTGCGTACACAAGTGCCACAGATCTCGCAGCCAGCCCAAAAAGAGGTACTAAGACTGTCTCAATGAGCAGCTAAAGTTCTTCTATGTTGCTCCCAAAAGCCTTTAGGGAAAACGATTGAGTGGCTAGTTTTAGACATACAAATGTGTTCTTATTGATTTTGCGTTTCGTCTACAAGCAAACAACGCTCCCCAAATGTCATGTTGATTTCTTTTCTGTGATGAATTTTATTTACATAACACATCGTAAAGGCAAATTAAAATGTAAATTAAAATGTCGAATGTTCACCCTTAATACTTTACCGAAATACGCAAAAATAACTGCTTGGTGCTTATTGACTATTAAACCGCACCGAAACATCGACTCTGCTCCTGTTTCACCACCGCTCAGAAGCGGCTAAAAGCCTCCATCTCTTGGTTACTCCAGTAGACATAACCTTTATATGCCCTGGGTATTCGAGAGTGTAATCTCACAGATTTGATTCGTCAACCCCACTCAAACTCACAAGAAAAAGAAAAAGACTGCTTAAAACGACGATTTACGGTGGGCGGTCTACTACTGTACTATAATCTACTGTCATCTAATAGTGTGCAATTGAGATGTCGAAAAGAGGGCAACTTACGTGCATGAAAAGCCAGTTACTGGCAAACACATATTTTTGAGTTCAGTTTGAGAAGGGCACTTTCTTTGTGTGCAAACTTCTTCATTTGTATAAGCCAGTCCGATCTCATGTAGTTTGGTTTTTACACAAGACGGCGCAATAGATTCCAACGATCTTCTTTCTGCGAGACTGCACTGTCTGATAGGGTTGAGAGCAGCATCTTGATCAATTGTTGATCTGAATTACAGAGAAAATAGTAGGAACATTGTAATGGCGAATGAAATAGTGAATAATAATATTATGCGTGTCATTTGCCGGGTTCAGTTGCAAGCTGGGGTGTTGCTTTTTGTTTCGATAAAGCAGAGCCCTGTAGATTGAGTCATTAAGGGGGAGCGGGAAAATGAGAGAGAGAAAGAGTAGGAGAGTAAGAGACAGACAGACAGACAGACAGACAGACAGACAGACAGACAGACAGACAGACAGACAGACAGACAGACAGACAGACAGACAGACAGAAGGATTATAAATATCGATAAGTCAAGATTCGTTTGTATTTGTTTGGTTTTGTTGAATTTTTTGTGTACGGGGGAAAAGTAAAACACCAAGCCCCCAAGGTGCAGCAACGTTTATATAATAAGTGATTTATCACAGAAAAGGGTTTACTTTTAATTGGTCACTGTATTCGAAGACATTCTGAGAAGAAAAAAAAACAATTACCCATTCGGTCACTGTCTTTACAGACAATTGAGAAAAGAAATTGATCATCCATGGCATTGTTCATCATGAAGAAACTGCTATGAGTGAGCACGTGCCATCTAGTCAAAACTTTGGAAAACTCTAACCAATCCTAGTTTCGTTGGATTGCCTTTCAATCCAGTAATTCTCCCTTATGTGAGAAGTATAACTCTTATGAAATTGAAGATGAATTTCACTTTTTTTGTCTATTGTTCACACTTTGTCCATCAAAGGATATTGTTAATCCCTCCCAGCCTGACTCGGCCCTGTGACAGTAATATGCAATGTTTGACTCATGATAAGAGATATTATGTGCACAACCTGTATTTATTCATTATCGAAACTTTACTTATCAAATGAGTGTTTTGTGTGATGTGATGTGAGCCAATGGCCATAAACACTGAATAAACTTACTTACTTAGTTACTTACTTTCTATCCAGTAAGACATTTTTAAAGTCCCCAGATGTGTACTCACTTGCATTTAGCCGGATCCGCGTTTTCAATGATAGCTTTCGTTGTTGCTCTGAAAGCGGAAGGGGAGCAAGAACACTCACAGAGATTGCTGACACAGCAGCCTCTTACTTGGCCAGTTCTTTTTGGTTTATCGCAGTAAGATACATTTTGACAACCTCGCTCAATGTAGTTCAAACACTTTCCCTTGCTGTCGGATCTGCATAGGAAACCACAAACCTGGGAGAAAGAGAGGGAGTCGAGTGTTTAGAAGAGACGAGAGCAGTTGGATTTTTTGGGGGCGGGGGTGTTTGGGGGGG